TATATATATATATATATATATATATACGTACGCACTCAAACTTGGCTTGACATTTTAGGTGAAGAATGCGTGAGAGCCTCAACTCAATGGAGGCGCGGTGTTTGTCTTGTTCTTGCCGATGCCCAACTCGCAGGCTTCTTGCAGTACTGCCCCCCATCTTTTTGTTGTTATTGTTGTCTCTGTACATGTGTCCCTCTCCCTCTATCTATCTATCTATATACATATATGTCTCTCTCTGTGCGTGTGTGTGAATGTGTCCCGTGCCTCGTCCTATCATTTCCTTTCCCTCGAGGTTGCGGCGTGGGAAGTACACTCTCTCATCGCCTTCCTGCACGGCACAGCAGCGAGGAAGGAGGAAACGAGGCAACATCACCAGCACCACCAGGAAAGGGGCGTAAGCGATGATTGAGCCAACGGCCCTCGCGGATTTCAGCCAGCCGGAGTTGTTGCGCATGGAATCGACAAACTTCGCCTCCGACGTTGCGCGTGCCGAATACGGGGACGCGGTGCATAGTTACTTGTACAAGTATAAGACGAAGGGTCGACGAACCTTCCTGCAGGATCAAACTACCGCAAAGACGTGCCTGCCGCGTATTCTACCAAGGGGCTTTCCCTACGTGGCCAACTTCATCTCGTTTGAGGAACTTGTGAGGCGTGGGGCGATTCCGTCATGCAGCCAGGATGAAGTGGACTTTTCCGTCAAGGATCTCCAAATACTGTACGAGGCAAAGTGTATGGATCAGGAATTAGTGCCCTTATGGGAACGTGAGATGCGGTTTATGGAGCTCATTAGCGCCAACTGCCGAGGAAAGTTCTTTTGCTTGAAAGAGAGTGGATTTGGCCCAATGTGCGCCGAGGCCATTGCACACATTTTGTCAAGTAACCAAAAATACACCATTCTTGACTTGAGTGGAAATCGGCTACGCGATGAAGGCGCCTGCTCCATTGCAAAACTTATCAAAGTCAACAGGAACATTGTCCACGTGGGGCTTCGATCCAATGATATTGGCCACGTGGGAGGGGTGGCCTTGGCGCAAGCACTTCTTGAAAACAATACCGTGGTCTCACTTGACTTGGGCGCGCACTCTGGCATTAATGGCAACCACATCGCCACAGAAGGTGCAGAGGCCATTGGAACCATGCTTCGTGCGAACAAGGTGCTCTCGCACCTCAATCTCAGTAGCAACGGTTTGGGGGTGTCTGGTGTCTCATTCATTGCTGCAGGCCTCGATGGAAACCAAAGCCTCAAACGCCTAGACATTTCTGTTAATAACTTGGGCTACGCGGGGATTGAGACGCTGGCGCCCGTCCTGGAAACCACCTGCATCACCCACCTCTCGCTGCAGCGGAACGCGCTGGGGGACAGTGGTGGGATGGTTCTCTTTCAAGCGATTGCGGCGGCCATTGAAAACGGTGAGGAGCGAATTGAGTTTCTTAACTTGGAGGCCAATAACCTCGGGGAGAAGACGGCCAAGGCAATGCAACGCGTGTTGTCATCGTCCGCCACTCTAAAGAAGCTGCGGCTCTCTTCCAACAACTTTGGGGGCTCCTCCAAGCACATTATGGAGGGCTTGGCGGAAAACAAGTCTCTGCTTTCCATCACGCTCTCCTTTTGTGGGATTCGCGAGACGGACGGGGCCGCCATCGGGGCCGCCCTCGCGGCGAACAGCACACTGCAGAACTTGGACCTCTCAAATAACAAACTCAAGGATGCCGGATCAAAGCGCATCGCGGAAGCCATGAAAACGAACGAGGGGCTTCTCTCACTGAATCTTGCCTGCAACAAGATAACCGATGAGGGTGGGGAGGCGATTGCGCTCTTTTTGGCCAGTAATCGCACCCTTCGAGATTTAAATTTGCGACGCAACTGCATGTCAAACGTCACAGGCGAACTCTTGGACGATCAGCTGCGTTGCAACAACACGTTAGAGAAGATGGACGTCACCTACAATGATTTCCGCTATCAGTCTCTCATAGGCCAACGTGCAACCCTGGCGCGAAATGCGGATAAGAACAAGAGTCTCGTTGTCCCACGACTCAAGGCGGAGATTGAGGGGCTTTCCTTCAAGGAGCGCGATTTGTCACAGGCCGAAGACGAAATTGAAATGGAACGGCGCATCATTAAGGATCGCAGCGAGCAGTTGTTGCGCCGCAATGAAGAGGCTCGGGTCACGACTGAGAAGGCGCGGCGGGAAATTGTGGATATTGAAAAGAATCTGGCTGTCGTACGCGCCCGGCTTGACTCCGCAGAAGAAGTGCTTCGCCGCACAGAGGAGCGAGTGAGCAACGAGATGTCTGAGATCTCCGGACGAAAAGCGAACATGGAGGCACGCATTCACCAAGAGAAGGAACGCGCGGACCGCGTGCAGCGCGAGATGGAGCGTATGCGACGGCAGCTGAAACAGCTGGAGGAAGCAGAGGCGACACGCCTAAAGCCTCTCTTATTGGATATCAGTATTGCGGAGGCGGATAGGGACCGCGAGGCGAAGGAATGTCAGTATGAGGCCGACAAGGTGGCCGCCCTTGCGCTTCAGCGGAAGGAGTTGGAGAAGAAGCTAGGCCTCAGCCTTCCTGCGGCGGGCAGCGCTGCCGCGCCAAAGGCCAAAAAAAGGAAGTAGCCATGTAAAACAGCAAGTGCAAAAGGGCAAGAAGAAGAAGGGAAAGATGTGAATAGAGGAAACGAAAAGAAATCAAGCAAAGGATATGTGTTTGCAACTTCGTCAAGTACCAATCACGGCCCTTCTTTCTTCACGCTATGGAAAAACATATATATATATATATATTTGTTTTGTTTCCTTCTTCTTATACTTTTCCTGCTTGCTGGTTTTTTGTTTTGTCTACTTTCTTTTCGAGCGATGCACCCCTGTGCATATTCTTTGCTTCCTTTTCCTCGTGTTGTTTCTTCTTTGTGGTTTTTCTTTAGACGTCGCAGTTGGGGGAGGGGGAGAGGGGAGGCGGACACGGAAGTAGGAACAAGCAGGCAAGCAAACAAGCGGCAACAACAGAAAAATGCCGAAGGCTCTGCGAGGGACGATTGAGACATGCGCGAAGAAGTATGCAAAGCTGAGTCCGGCGCTGAGTCTTGGCGGTGCTGTCTCCCTGTATGTGCCCCGTCAGCCGCGTTCTAGCAGCGCGAGTCGTGTCAGTAGGACACTCTTCACACTTTGGTGCGGACTGTTGGAGAGCTATCAGTTCACCCCAGCCGCAGCCGACGCCAACGCCAACGGTATCGACAACGGGGTTTCATTTGTTGTGGCTGAGCGACGCAGGCCAGCTGCGCAGGCAAGCACCGCATCGTTGGATTTTGCCACCGACGACAATGACCAATGGCAGAGCATCTTTGGACCACATGCGTCAATAGAAGCTCTAATTTTTCTTCTTCACTGCAGCTTTGCCGACGTGGATGCCGCCGCGTGGGTGATTGCCTTTTGTATCCTTGACAAGCTGCAACTTCGACACTCTGTTGAGAACCGCATGGGGCGTCTGTGCAATTCACCGAGGAATGCTCCCTTTCGTCTTCACCTGGGCAATTGCTGGAGAAACCTTTTTGTTGCCTTTTCTTTGGCACTCAAGTGGCACATCGACTACCACATCACTCTTAACTACATGGTGACTGTATTGCCGCCCAACTCACACGACCAGTCGTCTCTGCGTGGAGTTTGCGCCCAGACGGAGTGGCACATGTGCCATTCTCTGAACTTTGATGTATCTGTCCGACCTGCCGAGTTGTTGCAGCTCCTGGAGGACTTTCTCACCTTGGAAGAACGGGAATGCATCATGTGCTCCATCACCCATGAAGCGGCGCTGGGGCGCTTTTTTTTGTGACATGACGTCGGGTCGCAGTTATTCGTCGTTGTCAGGCTCTAGAACTTCATTGGGCGCATCTTATTTTTTTTTTTATTTATTATTATTTTTTCTTTCTCTTTATATATATATATATATGTTTATATATATTTGGTTTTTGTTTCTCAATAGTTTTTCCTCTCTCTCTCTCTCTCTGAGTTGCTTTCCATTGCTGTTCTGCTGCGTCGCTGGGGCGGGGAGGCCGCGTAGTGGGGTGAGAGGAGTGCGCCGCATGCAGGAGACACTGCTGGCGTTGAGGCGTATGCTTGTAACGGCGTGCATGGTGCCTGTTCCCGCCTTACTGCGTGTGTGTGTGTGTGTGCCCTTTTTCTGTTCGTTTGCTTTAGAGTCTGATTGCTTGTTGCTTCTCGCCCCATTGCCCGCCCTCCTCACACCCGCAGAAAAAGAAGAAGCGACGGCAAGGATAGCAGACAAAGTCCCAACGAAGATTCCTTTAATAATTAAACAAAACAGGTAGTTTTGGAAGAGTTTTCTTCTGTTCGTGGACGAATTCCTGCTCGTCTGTCTGGGTACCAGCGTGGGCTCGCGCTCATGCACTATTACAACAACCAACAACCCTCGCCGCACATGGCGTCCTACAGTGAGTATCAAGAGTATGCAACGACACAGCCAAGTCAGCCCCCGTTGCAGCGCCAGCCGTACATGGAGCAACAAAGACAACATCAACAGCGTTATCAGCAATACCAAGTGCCTCAACAGCGATCTGCAATGCCGCCACAGGTTTCACCCAACTCTAACTTTATGCAAGTGCCTCTTCCTTCAATGGACCAAAACATCGTAGGTGGCTGGTCCGCGGGCCCTGGCGGCTATTCCCAGGTTGGCTATACTTCCACGCAGCGGCACCAAACCACACCCGTGCCAAGTAACGACGAACGCTATAGAAAACAGCTCATTGTAAATTATCTGGCCCCGGATGTGGCCACTGCGGAACTGCATGACCTTTTCTCTCGCTTTGGGCCGCTTGATGGCGCCAGAATCATCCACGACAAACGGACGAATCTGCCAAAGGGATACGGATTTGTCTACTTCTGCCGCCCTGAAGACGCCAAGGAGGCCGTAGAGCGAATGAGTGGTTTTGAGCTTCACGGCAAGCGAATAAAAGTTGGGTATTCTACAAACCCACTTAACATTGTATCGGGTGCCTCGAGCCAGTCCACATGGGGAAACATGGCGTGAAGATACCCTACGTGTCTCTTATGTTCCTTATGCCTCTGTTTTTTTTATTATTATTCCTTTATACGGCCCTGAGTATTGCGTTGGCTCCTGACAGAAAAACAGGGAAAACCACTTGCCACTTAGCCAACGAAGACTAAGGAGACAAAATAACAGCAACCCAAAAGTTTGAACTTAACGATGGTTGCCGCTTATGTATGAGTAGGCGAGATGAATCCAAAAGAAGAGTTGCCTGATGGGATGCTGTATCAGTGTGCCTGTTTGGTTCCTGTTGTGCAAACTATCCTCTCGCTCTCGCGCTTTCGCTTTGTGAACGGTACAAGTACAAACACTTTTTTCGTCTTGTTTTTTGTTCATTTGGTTCGCGGGTGACTTATGAGTTTTTTTTATCGATTTTTAGACTGGTTGAATGTGATGATTTAGATCAATCTACGTGAAGCGCAGAAGCGAGCCGGGTGTCTTTGTATAGGTGTCGCTTTCGTTTTCTCTTTCTCTCTCTCTTTCACTGTGTGCGCATCTGTTGCCAACTTGCTGACTGACACGCTATTGTTTTTACTGTTTTCTTTTAAATTTATTTTCGAAATAAAACCCGACTGAGACGCGCAAAGAAAAAGAAAAACAACAACAACAACAACCGAAGAATGAAAAAAAGAAGAAATAATGAAAAAGCAGAGGAAGGTTTCATGTATTTGGTTTCACAATTTATTTCTTTTCTTTTCCAGGTGTGATATGTGCTGCCCATCTATACACGAAGCAACCACGTTGCCTGGGTTTGGGTCTTCTCATCCCATGCTGGTGTTTTTGTCTGGTGTGGTATTATTATT